CCTCATACATCAGAAATGTGGCAAAGTGAGTCCAAGGCTCCGTGTTGATTTCTTGCACTCTTCACCTGAAAGCACCAGGGTGCAAGCGGGTCTTTCCACGAATATCTATAACCAACGTCTATTCTAAATATTCCTGTACATGACCTGGGGTGTTTCTCAGTGTCGAGGCGCCGTGCTCACGAGGACACGGTCCTTCCTTGGTCAAAGAAAACCGTTAGATGGAACAGACTTGCATCGCGAGACCGCGGCTTCCACGGCGGTCACGTAACGTCACGTGACACGGGAGATAACGTTATATTTTATACGTATTAGTTTCAGTATTAATATATAACGAGCCTTTTACTTTTTAAATTGTGTATATGTTTATTAAATTAAATATATAAATGAGTTACTACCCGCTAGCCACCGAAGCTGCAGCTACTAACCAACCCTAGATAACTTCTTTGGATCTAAAATAAAACATTTTAAATTAGCTGACTAACCTTTAAACTTGAAAATTGTCCCGAAGTAGCTGCCGGCTTCTGATCCGCCGTTCTTTAGAAAATACCGCGGTGTATTGTGGGTAATGTTTGTCCAAGGCTAGGCTACAAGACACCTCCCGTGTATCCTCGCTCAGCTAGCTAAACGGCTAACAAACGGAGAACACGCCTCAGTAGAACATGAACATTGGAACACGCCTTGGTGGCTCCCGTATCTCCTAGGCAACCGGGGCGGGGCCAAGACATCAAGGCGAGGCTCTTTGGCATTGAGAAACGCCGCTGGTCGACACGCCATAGTCATGCTCCATCTTGAAGTATGGGAGCTGTTAATGAGCTGACGAGACGTGACCTGAAAGAAGCTGCAGAGGGCAGCAGTCTGCCAAACCAACTACGAGAATGCAACCGCGCTGTACGAACCCTAGCCCTGTACTCGACTAGTATGAATAGCAATAAAATGGAAGGACGCTGGACTTGTCAGGACCTCATCATGCCCAACTCTCCCAGTCTCTGCATGATGAGCTCTGCCTCAAGTCATGTATCGGGCGTGTTTCCACTACAAGAACTTCAGGGTAGGCTTACAGGAACCTTCCTGACCGGGCCGTTTCAGGAACCTTCTGAGCACCTGCTCTGGAGGAGGTACTCCGAACGGCCCGGTGGGGCAGCTCAGCGGAACCGCCGGTTAACTCACGCTGATTGGCTGTAGCACAGTAGGAAATGACATCAGCAGACGTCCAAAACAACCGGCAGCAGTGAAATCAGAAGAGTAGCTGGTGAAGTATAATGGAAGGGAAAACAAGCACCGATCAAGTTTAAAATCTAACTCCGACACCGGAAAACTCGGTGGAATTCCACCACATCTGTTGGAAAAGGGAGGAAATTCCCCCACAGACCTAATTACCGGAGCTTGTCTCACATAACCAGAGCTGCTCGTGTCCTCTGAATGGATTAAATTATGATGTACTCTATAAAATAAATGCTTTTATTATTATTGATGCTACTTTGGGTGCGTTTTGGGGCTGGTCAGTGACATCACTCACTGCCAAAGCAGTCGCGATACGCTGACGTCTGCAAGTTCTGGAAGGGCCGGATTAGAATGGAGACAACAGCTGGGACCTCCTATCTCCTGGTCAAGTTCCCCATCCCAGGAACCATCCTGGAGTTCTGCTAATGGAAACATTGTCTCTTTGGACTAGAGCTCCTGGTCCAAAAGTCCCTTCTCCTCTTGCTGCCCGCTGTCTCACTCCCAACATGCTCCAGCCCTCCGCCGCTAGCCGGTGCTCAACTGATGGCCAGCATGCCGGCTACATTCCCACCACTGCTCCCCAAAGTCCACGCACCACTGGACTCGGCTCTCTCCCCAGCTCACGCTAGCCCGATCCCCGTTAGGCTCCTGGAGGGAGCTCCAGAGGGAGCTGCGTGGGGAGTGAGTGTACACACTGTGCCTTTAATAAAGTCATAGTTACCTAGAACAGCAGTCCCTTAGGCCACGCCCACTGATACATAACCTGTCTTTGCAGACATTAAAATAGTTCGTTTATCCATCACCTCTGGAGTTGGTCATTTACAGGAACTGGTTCTCCTTTTCTGCAACGATGAATCCATCTTTAGTGGTAACTGATGTTTTCTGCCCCGCCCCATTCTTCCTCTTCTCCTGAGTGTCCCCCAGCATGAACGTCATCCTATCAGCACCAGTACCTAATCCCAGTACCAGTGGTCACCCTTAAGACGAGGCGTGTGAGTGAACACCCTCATAAATATTGTAATTTGATGTGTGAAGTCATTACTTCTCTCCACCAGAACCTCCGACCCTGTTTAGCTTCAGGGGAAAACGATAAAATCACAAACCGATTCCAGTAAACGAGTTGGCGTAACCATGTGAGCCTCGGCTGTTTTCTGCATCACTTCCTTCAGACCTTTTAAGGATGTGTGTTTAACTCCATCAGGAGCGGTCCGGTACACCCCAGGTCCACCACTAAGTCAGTCGGGTTCCAGCCCGACAAAACGAATGCTTATTAAAACATCTAAACAGGAATTCACTAGAACGATGTGTACTAAACCCAAACCCGTCCTGTTGGAAGGAAGGAGCGCGGGATCGTCCGGATGGGCGGTTGTCGGTTCTTCTCCTTTAGAAGTAAGCTAAAGAGGGACGTCGTTTTTGTTTACCCCCTCGTGAGGTGTTGGAGTCTGTGCCGCGCTAACGCTGCGGTGCCGGCATCAGCAGGCAAAAAGCTTCAGTTGTTCAAAGAGCCAAAGCCAGCAAACAGGAGCGACCCAGAAGTTATTTCTACTCCTAAGAAGCCACGCCCTCTTCTGATTTTATTCTGATGTCGTGCGAAGCAGCTAGAGGCTAACGCTGAGCTAACGAAGCTCTGTCTGCCTTCTCCTCTGAAACCAGAAGCATCTCGACTTTAGCCAAACTGGTTTCATGTCCCGAAGCTAAGAGGCAGCTGCTCCCCGTCAGGCGGCGGGTAAAGCTGATGAGCACAGATGTGATCGCTTCACAACTTTCTGAAACGTGTCGCTGGAGTCTAACGAGGCTTTTAAATGGATGGTTACCCGCTTTGTCTGAGCAAAGATGCTAGCGGTCCACTTTTAACTAACCCAGTCTGTGGGTTAGTTACTGTTGCCTAACCTGTCAGCAGCAGCGCAGATGCGGCCTGTCACAACAGCAGAGAAGAAAAATAATTATGAAAAACAATTAGTGTGTCAGACTGGGGGGGGGGGGGTCCCAGGAGACCCCTCACACACACACTTACATCTTCTCACACACACACACACACACATACACATTCATATTGGTATTTCGGTGCCTCTCAGCCACAAATGTGGTTGGGATCTCAAGGTTCTCCGGAGGTGCAGGTCCTACACCTTCTCCCAGCGACTCCGCCCTCTGCTCCACCCTCCAGAGGACACGGACAGTCAGTTATTCTGCTGGAAGAACGGGCCTGAAGGTGTTCTCCTTCAGGACCTTTGGGTCACCTGATCAGGTCTGAGACCTCCTAGTCAGATTAGTTCACCCACCATAAGTGGTCCTTGACTCTAGGCTGGACCCCCCCCCCCCCCCCACGTTCACCTGCTGGGTAAATTGCAACTGCGTCTGGGCTGTGCCCTCCAGGGACCGTAGACCTGTGGGAGGTGCAGTCAGCTGAGGAGCAGAGCTGCTCGTGCCGAGCCGTCGTCACAAAAACAAGTCCCGTGTCCCCAGGAGGCCAGGGCTGCAGAGAGCAGACGGCGGCCTTGTGAAGCTCCCGTGGAACCAGGGTGGAGGAGCTGTTCATCTGGTGATGTTTGTGTTGACAGCCTCTCACGACTTCTCCTCACGGACACAAATAATTACAGCCACCATGGTGTGTGTGTGTGTGTGTGTGTGTGTGTGTGTGTGTGTGTGTGTGTGTGTGTGTGTGTGTGTGTGTGTGTGTGGCTCCTGCACAGGAGCTCCATTAATGCAGAGAAAAGGGCCTGGGGGGGCTCTGAGGCAGCCCGACCTTCATGTGTCTCGGAGCTGCCCCCCAGTAGACCCTAACCCGGGCCAGAGCTGTGGATGTGTGTGTGTGTGTGTGTGTGTGTGTGTGTGTGTGTGTGTGTGTGTGTGTGTGAGAACATGTAAGCGTGTGTGTGTGTGTGTGTGAGAACATGTAAGCGTGTGTGTGTGTGTGAGAACATGTAAGCGTGTGTGTGTGTGTGTGTGTGTGTGTGAGAACATGTAAGCGTGTGTGTGTGTGAGAACATGTAAGCGTGTGTGTGTGTGTGTGTGTGTGTGTGTGTGAGAACATGTAAGCGTGTGTGTGTGTGTGTGTGACTGGAGTCATGCAGACTCACACTCAGCAGGTGTGTGGTTCTCAGTACAGGTGAGGCTTTTGTTTGGTTGTGAAGGGAGTTACCGGGGGGGGGGGGGGTATTTTGATGCCAAGTGTGTGTGTGTGTGGGGGGGGGGGGGGTCATGCTGAAGAGTTACAACACACACTAAGATATTCATCCCACATTCACACCTCATTGTTCTCACACACACACACACACTCCTCCTGTGTGTGTGTGTCACCCAGGGCTGGCTCACACACACACTTACACACACACACACACACAGACACACACACACACACACACACACACACACACACTGAGCGTGCTCCACAGGGAGCGCTTAGATCAGCATCACCCTCGTGGCGAGGTAACACGGCTGTGACACGAGCGGGTCGGCTGAGAGATGAGAGGACAGGTGTGTCTCACCTGCTGTTACCTGGATCGGAGCGCCGTCCCCTCGAGGCGCCGAGGCGTGATGTTCTTCTTCTCTTGTTGCATTTTAATCAGACGCATCTCCTGCTGGGGAGCTGGGCCTGGCCCTGTTTACAGCAGAGCGGAGTTTCAGTCGCTACGGCAACCAGAGAAAGTTATGGGGTGGTAGAAGTTTTAATGAGCGTTGGCATTTCTCCAGGGCTCGGGGGGCGGCGGGAGGCTGACTCCCAGCAGATGTCACACCCCGGCCCCCCACCCTCTCAGACTCATCCTGCTGCTCTCCTGCAGACTCCGTACCACGTGAACCTGCTGCTGGCCGGCTACGACGAGGCCGAAGGTCCTGGTCTCTTCTACATGGACTACCTGTCTTCTCTGGCCAAGGCCCCCTTCGCTGCTCACGGATACGGGGCGTTCCTCACCCTGTCCATCCTGGACCGCTACTACAGACCAGGTGAGTTCTTCGTCCAGGTGGACCATCATCTTCTGTCAGCCATTTTCACAAGTTTGGTCATCTGGTCTGTGTTGTAGATCTGAGTCGAGACGACGCCGTGGACCTGCTGAAGAAGTGTGTTGAGGAGGTGAGTCTTCCTTTTCCTCTCGTTGGTCCCTCAGACCAGATGGTCCTGACCAGGTGGCGGAGCGTCTTCCTGAACCTCTTCCTGTTTCTTCCTGCAGCTGAGCAAACGCTTCATCCTGAACCTGCCGTCCTTCACCGTGCGTCTGATCGACAAGGACGGGATCCACGACATGGAGAAGCTGACGCTGAGCGGAGAGATGGCGCGGCCCATGAAGGCCACCTTCTACCCGGCGGCCTGAAGCCACACACCTGCTGTTTTTGTACCGACAACCTTTGTTTTTGTTCTGTTCCAATAAAAAAACACCTCCAGCTGCTCCTCCTCAGT